GGGGGGGGGGGAAAGATATTCGCCAGTGCTGAAATTTTAAGTGCTTCGAGCCATTTGTTGAGGGGGCTAGGGAGGGGAAGGTGGGGACGGGGAAGCGGGGGAGGATATCAAGTGAAGTCGTTTTGTTCAGATGAGTTTGTTTGCGATTAGGTGTGGAGCAGTTTTCAGATTATGGCATCTGGCGCTGCGGCAAAAGTAGGTGCAAGAGTACGCAAGAAGCCGGTTATCAAAATCATCGATAATCCGCTGTACAAATCGATCGTAAAGTATGTCCGCTTGCTTTTTTTTCTCCTCAAATCCTTACCGGCAAAAAAAATTCTCAGTTGAGCGGAAAATAAATATTTAAAAATAAAGTTTGGAGTTTTCGGAGCAAGGCATTTTTGCGAACCAACACTGCTTCACCAAAAAAAAAAAGCCTTTTTGGATGCTGTGTGAATTAATAAGCAAAGTCTGGATACGTTGGAATGCGTGGAGGCTTGATAACTAGGCATTGAGATTTGCTAAAGTACGGTAAGCTTGGTCAAATTGGGCTACCCCAAGCCAAGATAAGTTGGCTTGTGTCGAGGTTCGATGTGTGCATTTTTAAAAAAAAATTTTTTTATAAAAATAATTTTTAAAAAGTTTAAAAATTGTAATTCTTTTCCATTTTCTCTTTTTCCTCTTTTCTTTTTCTTTCTTTTTTTACATTATTTTCTCTTTCAAAAACAGTTTTGTGAGAGGTTTAGGCCGTTGTTTCAAACCATTCAGTGCGCTTCATTGAATCGTTTCAGTGGAGAATTGTGTCTGTCTTCCTCAGTGCTAGACCTTGATCCTGTGGTATCTCAGTGCTTGGTCCTAGTCATGGAACTTCAGTGTCAGCCTTGTAACTTCTATGGATCTCTAATAATTTTTGAGATAAATATAAACGATTTCTGCGCACATGCATTAAACTCGCATTTTTTTGACATTTTTACAAATTTGGGTATTGTTTTCATGCTTGCGCCAGCCAGGTTATGCCAAAATTTCACAATTATTTGGTAGCAAAATGATTCAAATTTGCTATCCCTTTTAAATTTTTAAAATTTTTTTAAATCCTAAAAAACCTTCTTATTACCTTTTACTATTAAAACCTTTTACTTTTGAATTTTTACTTTTTCACCTTCTTACTTCTTTACTTCTGTCCTTAGCATCCCCCTCCCCCCGTCCCTTCTCTCCTCCCTTCCCATCTTTCTTACTTTTCCTCCTACCTTACCTCTATCTTCTTAAACGGTCTTTCCTTACTCCCTGTCATCTATCTCTTCTCCCTTTTTTCTTCCTTACGCACTGCGGCCGTCATACTGACGAGGTCCAGCCGCTGTGTGGAGTTAAGACGTATATGACTCAGTGGACCGAAACGTCTTAGCTCACTCTTACCCTCAACCTTCACTACGCTTTCTTGCTCGCGCACCCCATCATCTGCCTCTCCAGCATTGACCTGGAGGCTGCAACCTAATTAGCTGTAATTTTCACACTCACTGAGAAACTGGAATCTGTTTTGTTCTTGCCAGTAGCACTGAATTTGTTGTTTTTAAAATTGTATAGAAATTTCACTTTTTTTCACTCTCCTGCTTACCGCGTACGTCAACACCAGTTTTCGTCAGGATTTCTCGGAAGTGAGCCAAAAATGTGCTTAGGGAACAATCTCTTTGTGCATGCCAGAATCATCCGGACAGGTTAGGGAATATACGATTCG